GCAAAATAAAAATGCTGAGAATTCCATTCTGTATCACATGTACTGTTTTGGAATAAAACAAATTATTATTATTTAAAAAAACCTCTCTTTCTAAACTTATACAAACTGATTTCGATCAGTTAGTAGTGACTGGTGGGGAAATCCCATGAGTGGATTTCGACCTGTCTCACCGAGACTTGAAATCAACACAATTCGTTTCCAACATCAAGGCGTTCTGCAGTAGGCCAGCAAGCCTCGGGAACTGCCTCTTGGAATTTGGAGGGATGTCTGCATCTTACTGGGGATGCTGTCTGTCACCGGAAGAACACTTACATTCATCTAATGACTCCCAAGTAGGACAAAATTTGCATCTGAGGTTCCACTGTTGACTGACTGACTGACTGGTTTCATCATAGAAATTTGTGCAAAATGCAACTGTCCAAGTTGTCGCAATCCAGTTGGCACACAGAGAAAGACGAAATACTGAAGAAGAGAGATTCAAATGAACAATAATAAGCAGAAATATGAGGCAGAAATTATTTTGTGCCGTATAGCCAATTGTCTTCTCCAGTGGTTGTTTCTTAAAATCCCGAGAACCCCCGTTACCTAGCTCTCGGCGCCTAACCTGGATATTACTCACTCTGGTATACCAATTAACTGACCAAGGAGATAGAACTGAGACACCCATGATCAAAGACGACCAGCCTTTCATGTCTTCCATCAGCCATAAACAAGGACGGAGCAAAGTGTTGAGCTGCACACACGTCCTTTGATAGATAGTCGAGTATCATCTCTATGCTGACAGATGATGATATTGGCGTCGGTGGCACAGTGGTTAGGACTCTCGCTGACCATGCACATGGTCCGAGGTTCGAGTCCCTGCCGACGCACACCCGATACCTATGGTCGGCCTGAAATTTGGGCTACCGATATCCATGCTGAAAATTCCATACCTGTACTGAAAATACGGTGTGGAATCAAGCTGTAATCAAAATAAAATAAAATAAATAAAATAAGTTCCTCATGTGATTTCGTCAGCAATCCGTCGATTAGTGTTTCCTCAACTTTCCAAGTAACTAAAGTGATCAACCAGTTCTACCATCTCAGTCCCTATCTTGAAACTAGGAGTTAAATCAGAGCAGTCCTGTAGCATCATTTTACATTTCACAAGAACAAATCGCATGCCAAACATTTGAAGATTGGTCCTCAAGGTGTTCAGAATACTCTGCATTCTATTGTTTTCTTCACCTACGAGGACTGCACCACTCACATATTCTAAGTCAACGAGACTATACCCTGGTAGCAATTCAATCCCTATGTCGCGGAAGTCAGTTAGAGTTAGTGCCATCAGTACATCAATGATGAGGGTAGATAGAAATAGGGACAATGGGCATTCCTGATGGACACCACTGATTGTCATCATTTCAGAATACAACACTCCGTAAACTATTGCATGGCCTACTTAGTCAGTTCCAGTAGAGTGACTTAATTAGTGTGGTGTAGGTTCTCGGCACTCGCTTCACAGCCAAACATTGACATTTTACCTCTCAGTCGGCGGAGTGGAATGGAGTCTTCAGGTTGAGAAATATGACAACTGTTAGACGCTGGGAGGTATTCCTATATTCCGGAATCTGTCGAAGGGTGGATATGTGATCAATACCCCTTGTTCCTTGTATCTACCTGGTCTAAAGCCTCCCTGATATTCTCGTGTTTGTTTCTCTGTAGGACTATTTAATCTGCTCATGTTCATTGAGTTTAGAACTCTAGATACCATATTAGACGAACCAATCCCTCTATGATTATCACAGGAACACTTGTGTTCCCTTCTTTTATGCAGGGATAATCAATGACTTACCCCAGGCCAACGAGACTATCTCCGGTTCCCAGACGTTGGCTAATAGCTTAGTTAACGTGGAAAGCAAATTGTTACCACCGTCCCTAAACACCTCTGCACCAATTCCATCGGGTCCAGCTGATTACCCACATTGCAGATCATAGACAGCCTTTGCAACCGCTGTTGTACACTACGGACTGGTGTCTGCAGATGTCGGATGGTGGGCCGGTTGAGCGTAGCTGTAGATCAGTCAAATCTCTCCTCGAAATTTTACTTTTTGGGTTCTAGTCTTCTATAATGAGAGTTAATTGGGAATCCACTTCGCTCGGAGATTGTCTCGCTGATTATTGGCCTTCTGTCACCTGTTTCCCTAATTAGCCCAAATAGTTCTCCGGTGTCAACCATTGCTAATTCCTTCTCCATCTCTCTCCCTATCGTCTCCCGTTTAGTTCAAGTGTGTTCGGACGACACTTTGTCAGTTTGTGTCTGAGCAGCTTTTGCTCCTCATCACATTCAGTCCTCTTGCATCTATGAGTTCGGATGAAGCGGCAGAAACCCAATGACTTTTACTAACCTCTGGTTTTAGATTGTTAACAATGTCGGAAGCTGTGTGTAGAGGTGACTGGATATTGTGCCATGCTTGCTCATCAGAGTCTTTCTATCGATATCAGATACGCATTTAGCTAATTCTTCCTTAACTAGGGACTCCATGTCCTGATTTAGTTGGTGGTGTAACAGGTTCATTGCTATCAGCTTCTTATGTCTGTTCAATCATAAGCATAAACGTGTGCGAACCAGGGCATGATCGGAGTCTACGCAGGTGTTCCAGGAGGAGCGCTAGTCTTCTACCCTCCCCCGACAACGATAGATTATCGCTTTCTGGTCTATTGGAGTCCATCGTTGATTTGATGACGGAGGTCAACAGATCAGGCAATGTCTCTCTTTGTGTTTGAAGTTAGTGCTGACTTGGCAGAAAAATGATTGTCTGAACAGAACTATAGATGATGATTACTATTTTCGATTCGTCATCATTGCACTACTTATCTGCCAACAACATACTTCTCCGACTAAGACAACCTCCCTACTTGAGCATTGAAGTTGCCTTCTAAAAGTACTATGTCTGAGAGTTTTGGTTCTCACAGCAAACTAAAGTCTTGACCAGGTGCAGTCCGTTGTGGTGTAAGCGTGGATTATGAAAAGTCCTCGACGGGTATCGCAGTCCCTCCTTATCCTAACGGATCCTTTCAGGCGGACAACACACATACGAAAATATCCGCTGGTATCCAGTCGAGGAGGGACTTTCCTACCATAGAACTTGATTGCCTCTACACCTGCGAGCCCTCGCGAAATAGCCAAAGAATCTTCGGACGGTCGTTTGAAGATTAATCCTGCTGGCTAGGTGGGACTAAAGTGAATAACCACACTTGGGTTTTGTATGCATGTCTCCGAAACGCAATATACATTCTTGGCTCGAGATGCAGTGTGACTTTAGGAGACTATCGCGAGTGCTATTCTGGCTGTTGTCGCTAGAAGTGATCACAGAGTCAAGAGGAGATGGCAGACCAGCCTGTAGAAAAGTACTGAGAGTCGGAGGAAGGCACGATGATGAAGGTGACGTAGATAGAGGTGTGTGATGATCAGGAGTGCTTCGTGTGCTTTTGGTTAGTAAATCCGAGTGGATCACTAATGCCCCATCACATTTGATGGACGCATGAAGACTGATTCTGGTGGGCTTCAAATAGGAAGACGAGCGAAAGCTGCTCGATTGCAAGCCGATAAGTAGCCACATCAATGAACATGAGAGTGCTCGTGGGCAACAAATGCCAAAGAGACCGAAACGGCGTCGGCATGTAAACATCAGTCCTGCAATTGTAACTGAGATTTCGAAATTCGCAACAAAAAACTATTCATCCGAATCAAGACTTATATCACGTCTAAAATTATCATTGTCTACATCCCCAGTGTCTTGTGGGGCCCTGAAGTACCTATTACTTCAAGATTCAATGGTTCTGGTTTCTTATCAATTATTAGGAAGTTTTATGGAATATCCTTTTCAGGAAGACAAATAATCTTGTCTGTTTCATGGTAGAGTTCGTCACCACTAAGAGTCCGTAAATAGCTGTTATTTTGTAGTTTATGACTCTTCATCAGTGTATCCTTTTTTCCTTCAGGTTGAACGAATCGATAGCAGTTAGAATTGAAATGTCACTAGATTTCAGCTCAGCAGGTGAACTTTTAACAAACTCGCTCCGCAATCTGGAGTTTGTACGTTTATATCCTTGGACGAGTCTTGAGTCCACACTGGCTAAGTGTTTCAAGCGGAGACGAAACAGCTGTACGGTGCTGATTAGATTTCAACAGTTCTCTAAATGATGTCATTTCGTGGGGAATTAACCTTGAAATCAATTTGACGATGAAACTGTTGCCCTGAATATTGACTAACGAAGATAATGAGTATGGCAATCTTGAGCTTAATGCTGATAGAAATGTGACAACAAGCGCTTGAATTCTGAAATCAACACTGAGGATATTATTCAGTGAAGGCTTCATGATTAAGCCATAAAGCAACACTGCTACACCATCGTAATCTCAACTGAAAACACCTTCAAATCAAAAATTAGCTGATGACATCTCTTGACGTAAAAACAAACAACTCTATTAGCCACATTTTTCTAAATTAACTGCGCAAGAGTTAACACTTTTTGAAGATTTAGTCTGTTTTATAGACGACAAGACGCTGACTGAATCTGAAAAGAAAACTCCTCAAAATCCTCTGTGTTATATTGCTTTAGGATGCTTCTGAAGCGAAAATTCACTAAGAAATCCTCGATTGAACCGTAATACTACGTAAATGATAAACACTAATATATGCCAAAATATCTAAACCGTTTTATTTCAACCATACAGCTTTCACAAGAACACTAGCCCCCTGTATTCGAGCAGTTTGCGCTAATTTTGCTTTCTAAGCTCAATGTAACCTGGTACACACACAGTTGATAAGCTCGTCTCTCGACAAGTGAAACAGCCGTCCGGTGTTTGAATCACTTCCATCTGGCTAGCAGGTAGTATTGTCTGACGTGAGTGGTGGGTCCGCAGCCACTCAGATTACAGTCAGTATTAATATCTCAGACTATTATCAGCAACCTACATGCAATAAACAATATAATAAAAGTTGTTACCTAATATAGTAATACACTTCTGTTAATATTATTATGATTAGCATTAGCATTTTTATAATTATTTAAAAGGCTAATTACGATTAAATATTTGGTAGAAACCACGCAAATATTTGTGAAATCACAGAATAAAGGTTAAATAGCATAGAAAAGTCGATTGTCCGGCTACATATGCATTGTGGCATAGATGAAGTTATATGATTAATTGGGTTGGATTAATGGGAAGAGAAGTTGTGTGTGTGAATGCGTGTGCGTATGTGTGTTCTGCATTGAATCAACAATGATAAAAGGTGAAATAAACAAGAGAAGAAGACGATGACAATAAAGACAACGAAGAAGAAGAAGTGGTAGTAGTGGAATGGAATCAAGGACAATGGAATGATTACGCGAAACAAGCCTATTAGTCCGTTTCGATTCAACTCTACAACATTGACAAACTGTAATCAAAGTACAAAAAGGAGAAAAAGAAGACAGAGAAAAATACAATAAAAGAAGGGATCAAACAAAGAAATGCACAAGTGATACAGAATCAGTCACCATGTCCTCATCGACCCACACACACACCGCCTTGTTTATTTTCCCCTTGTAAGAGTTTGTGTCTGCGTGTGTGCCTATAAAGCTGATATTACCAATAGACACACTCACGTGCATTACGCCTCATTTATAAAATCAAAGATAGAACAGTCAGACCGACACACCTCAAAAAGCCAGGATGCAGAATAACAGTTGAAAAACAGTAGAGAGCGCAGTGTCGATTATTGTATAATTCAGTATTATGCCAACATTTGTTTTGACTTGATTAGAGTTTTGAACTTCATTGAATGAATTAATATATGCATAAACAGTAGTGATGATAGTAATAGTAATATATAAACGGGGATAAACAATGATGATTTGGTAAGATTTCTTTTTGTCCGCTCGACTATTGATTCAACCAACTCCAAAATTGACTAGCATCTTGTCTCGTATAAACCACTTTTACCAATATATCGAACCCATTTAACAACATCATGATCGGAATAATTCAATTTGGACTCGAATACTTTAAGGAAGCGAACTTTGAATCCAGACGGTGCAAACGGTACCTAGAAGAGAAACAAAAACAAACATTTAAATGCAAAATCAATAAACTGATATAGGTAAATTATGCTTTAAATAATAGTGAATCAAAAAAAGAAAAACAGAAAGAGTTATACATGTTTTCGTCCCTAAATGCTTGAATACTCGTACAACCCACACACACTGTCTGCAATCTCCCAAAATATCAGAGACTTGGTGTGTCATTAAAACCATTCCCAACAGGCTACTCTACTGCAGGCTTTTATCAACAGCTGCTATCTTCGCTAATTCTATACCGAAGTTCAAATGACCAGTTGGAAAGGATGCACAACAAGGAATTCCGACAGAGAGTGAACCAGTCAATAACCTTATGGCCAACAAATATGTGAACGGAAATGGAGATGGACAGCAAACACGCTGAGGAGATCGTTGAGTGAGATCGCACGCCAGGTAATTGTTTGAGTGGGACCCGAATGTGAAACGATGAATTAGGCGTGAGTTCGACAGTGACGCGGAGGAGATGAAAGCTTATATGCAATCATGGAGCCAGCTAAAGAGGACTGCTGAGGACAGGATGAAATGGAGATGCGTTGTTGAAGCCCTAAGTTCCAGTCGGAACCTAAGGGAATAATAATACAGTATGAGAATCTTCAATTTACTCAAACAAACTGATGCTTAGAATATCAAAAGATGCAACCGTGATGACAGTTAGATCACTTCACCCCTCGTCTATCAGAAGTATAAACATGAAAGAGTGACCTGAAGGTGGAATTATTTAGGAGACATTATCCCCAGTGTATTGCTGCTGCTGCTGGATTCAACATAGAACTTAGCACCAAAGTGCAGCAGTTCGAGTTGCCACGTTCCAAATAGCACACAAAGGTAGACAAGAAAATGAGTGAAGAGAATCAATAGAGTTTCGACAAGAATAAGAGTGAAACAGAATGAGTAATGGTAGAAAGGAATATGAAAGGTTAAAAAGACTGAATACACCTGCGCCATAGACAACGATTTTGAGCCATATCACCTAGTGTCTCCAGCCATTGATTCTTAGAGTCCCGAGGGCCCCAACCCGGAAGTCTGCATCTCCCTACCTGACTCAGTTTAACTGTCAAGGATTTCATGGAGTGATGCCATGTTTTTGTTTGGCCACCACTTACTCTTTTCCAACCTGCACCTATATCAGCTAGTAATGCCCGTCGGGGGAGGCGATGGCTAGGCATGCGCAGCACGTGACCTAGCCATCCCAATCTATGTAACTTTATAGCCTCTTCGAGTGATTTTCCCTCTTTGCCCAACACTCTACGCCTAACGTCAACATTACTTACCTTATTATACCACCTAACGCGAGAAAGAGATCGTAAACATCTATGGTCAAAAACAGACAATCTCTTCACGTCTTCCGCTCTCAATGGCCACGTCTCACCGCCATAGAGAAGGACGGAGCGAACTGCTGAGCTGTACACACGTCCCTTGGTTGACAGCCGGATGTCACGCCTACGCCAGAGACGGTGTAAGTTAGCGAAAGCAGCCCTAGCTTTCTGGATCCGTGCTGTGATTTCGTCACCAATCAATCCGTTGGTGCTGATACAACTTACCAAATAGGTGAAGTGGTCAACATGTCCTATCACTTCACTCCCTATCACTAAGCTAGGAGTTGACGTAGCAGCATTTTACAGGGGCGAATCGCATGCCAAACATACGAAGATTGCTGCTCAAGGTGTTCAGAAGACTCTGCATTTTGTCAGCGTCCTCCCCTAACAGGACTATGTCGTCTGCGTATTCTAAGTCTATAAGACTATTCCCTGGTAATAAGTCGATTCCTAAGTCGTTAAGTTCAGTTAAGGATACTTCCATTAGCATATCTATGATGAAGTTAAACAGGAAAGGGGAAAGTGGACATCCCTGACGGACACCACTGGTTGTTATCAATTCAGATGACAATTCCCCATAAGCCCTTACACAGCTACGTGAGTTTGAGTAGAGTGCCTTGATTAGTGCAATGTACTTTCTTGGCACTCCCTTCACAGTCAAACATTGCCATAGTACCTCTCGATCCACGGAGTTGAAGGCCGCCTTCAAGTCAAGAAATATGGCAATTGTTGGACGCCTAAAAGTGTGTCAGTGTTCTAGGATCTGTCGGAGAGTGAAGATATGATCTATGCACCCTCTACCTGGCCTAAAGCCCGCTTGATTTTCCCTCGTTTGTTCCTCCCGAGTTCGGCTTAGTCTGTTCATGATTACTGAGCCTAGGATTTTAGAGACTATGTTCGTCAGGCTCATTCCTCTATGATTATCACATGAGGACTTGTCTCCCTTCTTGAATATTGGTATAATAAGTGTATTATTTGGTGGTGGCTAACGGTCGAATGCAGGTCGTTGCATTGCGACCAGTTTAGGCCTCGTTTAAGTGTTCTTAGTGAGAGCCTACATGTCAACCAAAACTGAGCATTTCAGCTAAACAAAATTAATCAGTGAAGGATTCAAAATAATTCCAGCAATCCCTAGTATACTTCGTTAACGAAACTGAATCTGCTGTTACACAGATACTAGGCAAACCGTATGTATTCCCTCTTTGTGTACACAACACTGATAGCATATGGACGCATATTTATTGAGACACTAATGAAGCTCTGACTCTTTGCTCCAGACCAGTGAGTCAAGGGTTCGAACCCCCCCGTTCCACCTACCAAGGTTTGGGAAGCCAAGTAGTATCCCTAGACGTCACACACACACATACGCACACAATAAGTGTGTCTGATGTCTAATTGCACGAAATCGCAAGTGGTTGTTGAGTAACATTTTGTTTCATCTTAATGTCTTTCCTTGTATTTTAAAAATACAAAAAACAAAATTCATCAGAAAAAAAAATAAAAAAACCTACCTCAAAGTTCATAGAAATTGGTGGACGCATCCAACGTTTTTGTTTATCAGATGCTTGTAATAATTCGATTTCAGCAGACAGCTGACAATCCTTCATACCAGAAATGCGTCTTATCCTAATAACGAGTAAAAGAATATGAAGGGTACAATAAATCCCACAAATAGGCAATGCATGAAAATATAACTAAAGAAGTAGTAGTAGTGATTACATTGTTACGCTGGGGACTTAATTCTATGTGTTGATGAGTCTAAAACTAGAATGAAACGCCTACCGAGATCTGTTCCTTAGTTTTCGTTCAATGGTTCTCTAAGTGATAAAGGTCAGTTCGTGATGAAATCTACACCATCAATTACTCGTAAGTGTGATGCCTGAAAATCAGTTTATCCTATTCTGAAACACTTATCAATGTCTAACTGATTGGTTTCGGCACAGAACTTGACACACAACTGTGCTACATGGAGTGTAGCACACAAAAGAGAAAAGGAAAAGAGATTTAAACGAACAGTAATAAGCAGAAATATGAGGAGGAAAGAATTAAAACATGGGGAACCAATAGGGTTTAGTGGATATGGGAGGTCACACAGTGTGAATGTATCTCAGCCATTGAGAATGATTTTGCGCCATATCCTTTACTGCCTCCAGCCATTGGTTGTCAGCATCTCGAGAACCCAAACCAGAAAGTCTACACCTCCCAACGTTAGTCAGTGTGCATAAACATAGATGAATTAAAAGGTATGCATAGTCCAATGTTACCACGTGTGATTCACACAAAATGCAATCCTTTTCCATCATTTATGCTTTACCTAGTAACTTGTGCGAAGAGCTACTAAATAGAAAATACTCCAAGCAAAAGTTGTACCAGTGCTAATCAAAAAGACGTGAGTGTGTATACAAAAGAGATGAATCAAGCTGGTACTAACACTACTACTACTACTAATCCAACCAGCTTTGACATACAGAAATTCTCAGACATCTTATTAAATCATGCCTTTGAATTCAGTTGTCTCATCTCTTATCTTTTCAAAACAAACTTGCACGATAAATTCAAGTTTATAGTTTTCCGTTTGTACAAATACACCTTCGAAATAGTCAATAAATACATAAGCTCCTACTACATATTTTGTTCTCTTTTATTTGTGTAAAATTTCATTCACATGAAGCTAAGTAACGGAATGAGTGAACTTCAAATATTTAACTAAAGGGTATTCAAATGATTTTAAGCTCGACTTCGTCGCGAACCAACGTCCTAGCTTGGGACGCAGTTTAACAAGTAATACTGCGAAATCAAAACTCTACCTCAACTTAATCGACGTCAACAGCGTTGACCGAGAAGTAATTTGAAAACCACTTCAACATTATGGCGTGTTCGGAATCCTTATCAACCTCATTCAACAGTTATATGAAAGTGCCACATGTCAAGTGATCTACAACCGAAAACGCAGTGAGGCCTTTGAAGTGAAGACAGGAGTAAGACAGGGTTGTTTGCATATTATCACCGATGGTATTGCTAACTGTTGTGGACTGGATTATGTGGAAGACTGTGATAGCGAGAAGACAGGAATACGTTGAACCGATAAGAAGACTCTGGAAGATGTGGACTTCGTGGGCGATTTGTGTCTAATGTCACAAAAACTCGAAGACTTACAGGCAAAAACCAAAAAGTTGGCAGAAAAAGCAGCAAAGACGGGACTTCAAATAGACACAGAAACAACAGAGTTGATGAAGATAGACAATCAATAACAACAGACACCTATTACTATCACAACGGAATAAACTTGAAAGACGTCACTTCGTTCACTTGTCTAGGAAGCATCATTTCAACTACAGGCAGGATGGATGATGTCAAAACCAAAATCGGAAAGGCAAGACAGGCCTTTATCCCTCTGAAATCACTTTGGGAATATTCTGTACTCCGCCGAAGTTTAATCGACTAAATTTCGATTTCCAACACCAATGTTAAGTCAGTCACTGCTTCTGTATGAGTCAGAAACTTGGGGCGCCAGTCACGAGAAGTATTTCCAACAGACTACAGCAAGCGTTTATGAACAGCTGCTTCCTCTGGCTCCATATTGAAGATCAGAAGGCCAAAGAGGATTAGCAACAAGAAACTATGTGGACGAGACAATCAATAATCTGCTGCTCAGTAAATATCCCGAAAATAGGACACACACTGAGATAGTTGGGTGATATCGCGCGCCAGGCCATCGCTCGAGTGGAAATCCAATAGTTTGGCCAGAGTGGCATGGAGAAGATCGTGTCAGCAGAGTCAGATGACAACAACTGCAGAGGACAGGGTGAAATGGAGATGTGCTGTTGAATCCCTTTACTCCACTCGGAATACAGGGGAATCATGATAAAAGCACTATCTCTGAAGCCTTCCAGGAGACAGGCAATCCACAAGAAAACTTTTCAACCTATTCTAAAGACTCCTTTCTATTTTGAAAGTGAAAAAAGCAGGTTATGAAGAAATTCAACTGTAAAACAAAAAGTTAAAAAATCAAAATAGAATAAGTTAAGAAATTTTATTTTTTTAACTCACTTCCAAACAATAGCATTCTCAGCAGCTTTGTATTTAGCTCTACCCTTCATACAAACAACTTGTACACCACTGGTATTTGTTGGAGTTGGGATACGTACTTCAATTTTTTGTGCAAATAGACTAGGACGGAAATTTGCCTTCAAAATGACTTTTACATCCATTTTTGTTTTGCCAAGCTCTCGTACAAGAGGTATCACACGAAATGGTAAACTAATCTCCTGAAATGTATAAGCATACGAAAATTCATTTTGATACCAAGAAGTGTTCATGCTTATTTAGTTTTGATAGTAAAAAAATAAAGAAGGAATAGATACTCAAGGGTTTATGAATACTTAAACCCACACAAGGCAAATGCTAAATTTTCCTAGATGGCGATATTCTCTCTAAAATTCACTAGTGTATCAACTTCCATTAAAATGACGCTAAGGAACAAATAACTGGAAACCTAAAAGCATTGAACAATTGTTGATCTGTGCGTCGGTGGCACAGCAGTTGGGACTCCAACTGATCATGCACATGGTCCGGGGTTCGATCCGCGACCGACGCACACCTGATATCAATGGTCGGCCTGCTAAATTTGGGCTACCGATATCGCATGCTGAGAATTCCATACCGTGTAGAATCAAGCTATAATAAAATATAATAATAACAGACAAATCTATAGGTTTCCTCACTGGTGTTGACTGAATTGAGATTAATCCAAGGCCAGACTATAAGCCTTAAAAACCAGTCTTGGTGCCATGAGTTCATTTATGTATTAGAAGCATTCAACTACTTTATGGTTGTCTGATCCTGTTTTCCTTATTATTTCATTATTATTTACCACTATTAACAGTATTATCACTTCTATATACTAGGTCACAAAGTTGAATTCTGACCTACAGCGTGAGCTATCAGAGATCAAGAGGTAGAACTTTGCACCGATGTGCAGCAGTTCGAGTCGCCACACTCCATGTAGCACACAAAGCAAGAGAAGAAAGTAGAAGAAATGCATAATATAGACAGTAGGTTGAGGTGTGAGACAAAGGAGTAGTAGTAATGAAGAACAATATAGTTTCATTGGAAATTATAAGTCACAAGGAGTGGATGCATCTGCACCATTGAGAACGATTTTGAGCCATATCACCAACTGTTTCCAACTATTGGTTTTAACCGTCCCGAGGACCCCAACCAGGAAGTCCACACCTTCCTACGTGGTTTAAACTAACGTGGGAAGGAAGGCATATGATGTCACTGTATAATCGAAACTATTCTGTAATTAAGCATTCTTTAACAAACCACTAACAACATTTACAGCTCTTCATTACACTATAACTTGTATGCATACTCTCTAACAGTGCTACTCGAAACTCCAGACTGTAGAAGGAAGAGTGTGCATGAACTTACAATTTGACAATTGGGTCGAAAGTTTATCAATCTAAACTAACTACAATGTTACCTAGTTACACAGAGATTTTCAGTATGTCAGGGGATTAATGAATATAGGCCTCCAGTGTAACTCAACAAAACAAGTTATGCAACTGTACAGTTTTTTAAAAAAAATCCTGCTTTTAAAGCAGCTATAGGTTATACAATCACTAACTATTATTCATGAGTTTAGTAAGTGAATGATCCACTACTTATCATAGATTTGATATATCTGATACACTGACAAATACATCCTGAGTGACTTAACTAGGCAGATTTAGGTGAGAAAGGAAAAATATCATACAACAGTAATTGCAACGGTTGGAGTGAAGCTAAATGAAAAAGAAAAATGTAGTGGAATTCTTAACTCTCACATTTAACAGGTACGTCAACGGAGTATTAGTAAAAAAACGGATAAATATGTAGTATATCCACCTTTTAAAAGACAACTGTGTAAATTACTTGCAAAACAGATAAGACGAGTGGATAAATACCAAAATGGCGATTTTGAATTCAGATTGGAACCAAATGCAACATACTTTCTCGAACAAGTAAATGAGTAGTCAATACAATAAACCACTTCACTACCTATCCATAAGTTGAAACTTCGGTGAAGTCTAATTCTCGTAAGTGAAAAATGTATATTAGACAGATTTAAGCTTCAACATTTAAGCAGTATATGTGGACTAGGATTTTTCCAGGTGGATTATTCTCTGAAAATTAAGAAATCAGACGCCTCATATCTACCAGAATATACATCCATTCGTCAAATATAACAAGGTTTTCAAATAATAACTACTTTTTAACTATCCAGTAAAGATTCGGAGGAGAACAACGTAAACTTGTATGGTGTTATGTTGCCTTTCAAAAACCAGCTGTCGTTTCTTTCGTTTCTGTTGCATCATTCTGCAGCGGCTTGATGGAAACAAAGTGTAAAGATGAACATGTTGAATGCATACTCATGATCAATATGCCTCATTTTGTCTAACTGTATAAAGTGAATTTATTAAGGTGTTAGATAAAAAAAATCCTTAAAAAATTAAACTACTTCCTAAATGCTCAACGACTTGAGATGATAAATACATATTAAATATACAAATTATGTTTTTATAGAAATATAACATTTTAGCTTCCAAAAACCAAGTACCTTAGTAGTTCTGTAGCGCATTAACTCGAATTCACCATCCGGTGGAATAAAGGAAATAGTATGTTCTGTTTCAAAGCGACCCAATTTAACACACTGATGGAATTGACAATCGTCTATAGCGATACCTCCGCTACTGCAGGCAAAACACGCAGGAATAGAATTGTAGATAAAAGGTATAGTATGAAAAACAGTTGTGCAGCTATTTATCACATCTAAAACTTAATTTCGAAGACTATGACAGACAAAAAAATAATCAGGAGGAGAAATGTTTAGTAAAATGTACTTGAATACTTGTGTAACTTTAGGAGACTATGTTCCACTTGGAAACTAATAATAATAGTAATAATAATACGTAGCTTAGCAATGGGTTTTTGAAACTTGACGAATTCAAATACCTAGTTTGGGAATCATCGGCAGTACGCACCCACTGGGATTAGAACCCAGGACCTTCCCGTTACAAGGCAAGCTCGTATACAATTCAGCCACTGGGACCAGAATTCAAATACGATTTTAATTAAATAGTTATCTGAAAATGATGTTTAAACCCATAAACCAGAACTTCTGTAAGACCTAACCGTTTAGTAATCGTATTTAGACATCTTGTGAGAGCTAAAGACATTATCTGTATGTTCGAACTCCAGTATATGGAGTGGAGTTTCAAACTGTATCAACTGCTTAAGCCAATATGTGCATTACAAAGAAGTTTTCACTCAAGACAAGGCAGTAGTTCTGACCACATTTGTGGCTCTTTAACTGACATCGCTGACCACATACCAAAATAAACAATGAGTGAGAATTATTGCTAACGAATAAAGTTTAGCAGCAAATTAGTGACCACTGGAATGAAAAAAGTATGAATGAAAATTAACGGATAGTCATGGAAGATATCAAACAGCATAAGTTGTTACAAGTTGGAAACTTCATTCCCAACAAACTGAGAACATGCTCACTATGGAACTTAAAACCTGTAAGGTGAATTTGCAAAAGAATCGAGGACATACAATCCCGAACCTCCAACATACGAAGAACTTCTTCTATGGCTGATAGCAATTCTAAATTATGATTTTTACCAATTTCCAGTAAATTCTATTCGGAAATATTTCGAGGAGTCCTCTTTTATCCAGTGTTCACACATGACAAACTCAAAGATCAAGTAATGAAGAGAAGCGTATACATTTGCTACAATTCTGAAATTCTGAATACCTGGTGGAAAACTCGTTCTTTGATGGTGTCGATCTAGGGTGCCAATCTACACTAGCAGTGTACCTACTGCCATGACTGAGCAATAAATAAGTTGAAACCAATGTAAAAACCTTTATTCTCTAGACTGATTGCATATTCGAAAAGTAAGGAATCATACCTGTCCTCTGTACCAGCTGTAGATCGTTGCTTGTTTTCCAGACTGACTTTGTCATTGAAACCAAATTTGCATTCCGGCATACCACTCAAATAAGACTTCATGATTACTCGACCCGCCACATGTGCCGATAACACTTGCCCTAATGCAGTATAAAGCAATACAAAGCTTCGATCACTTAGGAGTTCAATAAAATAAATTTATATATATATACCTGATTTGACTGTGCAACCCTAACACTACGTGAACAGAAAAGCGTTATCATACCAACAGTTTATATTTATTGTTAACGTCGAAAGGGTGTCAGACATTCTCAGGTATGGATATATTGCTTTTATTGGTATTACATGGGAAATAAGTAGTTTTATCAAGTATCGTCAAACATACGCTGGGCATTTCATTCATTATAATACAGTGATAGTGTTATTGACTGAATAAAGCATATAGTTAAGTGAAGCTAAACAAAACTTCATACAATTTCACAGCTCCTTATATTTTCCCCTTAATGACACCAAAATAAAAAACGTGTTGAATTACTCCTCTTACAGGTATTATGTGTGGTTTTGATAAGAAAACGCTAAGCACCCAGTCTTTTACTCAATTTCAACTCGAACTACTTGGTAATTTGAATACTGGTCAATACACACGCACACACTAAGAAATGACTCTTTTACAGACAAACTACCTTAGTAAAATTTACTATTCCATTTTCAACTGAATGCTTATATTTCAATGTTCTGACTAAACTTTGTGGGCTTCCTTGACTTACAAACTGGTAAATTAAGATACTTTGCTAACAGATTTTACAGGGTAGTTATGTTTCCTAGCTGAACTTTCAGGTCTGGTTGCCATCCCAAATCCCATTTCATTAAAAAAAAGTCTTGTCAAGTGTTTTACACTCCTTATTCATATAAACTCTTTACTTTCTTTGCTACAGATATTCCAGTAACTGTGTTTTCAACACCTTTTGGAATTTGTGATAAGTACACACTGATGTCTCCTAATTAAACTGATCAAATTAATGAGACAAATAAGTTGATTACACTAATGTTTCCCCACATTTATCTTAACAGATACCAGATAGCACTACTATTCTCAATCTTTTGATATCTATAAAAATATCCCGTTTTGAGTTTTATCATTAAGGGATGTAATATAGCTACATTTTTACGATTTAATGCACAGTTAACACTGCATGAAAACATTTGAGGAACCCGTGTACATGTAAAGGCATGTAAACTAAAAGTTAATTCAAAAAAGTGAAAATATCTCCTTAAAATTCAGCGAGCAACTGTAAATTTGCAGCTTGTACGAAAATATCATACGAGCTCTACGAAACAGTGAGAAAGTATATGAGATGAACTACACAGTACACCACAAACGTCTGGTTTTCACATTTCGCCTTACAAGAAAATCAATGTCTGATTCTTGTAGCCTCTACATTTCCAGTACAAGAGTACGAAAATTTGCTACTATCTTGAGATACTAGAGTCTGTTTTGTAATGTGGAACACAACACTTGAAACAATAGTGATTGCATGCATTAACATATAGCTCAGTACTATTACGAAGGTCACTATACTACAAAATTACCTGACCGACCAGCAGAAAAGCTGTTAAACGTCGATATAACAGATCATGTGGCTAAAATATAAATAGTTTTGCACCACGCTGAAAGCTGTTTCACTTAATATCTCATTAAATAGTTGTCGCAAAACTGAAGTTTCAGGGCACCAGTTATTTATGATCCAACAAAAATATCATTCAAGTTTCAGAACTTAATATTGGGTTCGCATTTTAACCCATCCGTACATAAAGTAGTTTAAGAGGACCTTTGAATTACAACAGCCCCTTATGATAAAAGAATCCTTAGGTCACAGTAAATACGACGAGAGTAGGCACATAAAAGGTAGAACGTGTAATTTCTACGAAAGGGTAGCAAAAATGAAACCCGATTTTTCTTTACTTTAAGTATTAAAAAGCCGTTAGAATGGTATAGAAATTGACTAAATTCAGAGTGTAATAAGCAGCTATGCGACACCAATGGTAAAACAAACCTTGTGGAGACATAAGTAAATTCACTGACTCCATAATATCCAGGAAAAGTTCATTTCTTCTGTACTTTATCCCTTCTCGACGCCATCCAATTTGTCCAGTAACTTGGTTCGTTATTTGAGCAGTCTCTTCTTTGCTAGCGGTGCGTGTACCAGCCTGAGTGATAAGTGACTTCAAAATTCCAGTGTCCGTATTTTGAGCATAACCATAGTCAATAACCTCTGAAGAAATACTAAAAACTACAGTAACCTACCATCAAGAATTTCGTATATAAGGACGAAGTTGTTTTTGATGTTTTCTTCCGTGACTCTCCCAAAATAGTCTTTCATCAAGTTAAGGAGTCCATGAAGCAGTTGGAAAACCATAGCTGCATTCACGTTTCGCCGAGCGACAGCACACATCCATATGTTTGCTCTTTTCACATGAAAAAAGCTCGTTCGTGCTACGATACTAATTGGCGACCGCACCTGCTGCCGTGCATGTATAACATTAACCCGAAAAGCATCGGCCGCATTTCTAGAGACATCGTCACGGAAGATTCGTGATATTAAAACCTCCCCTTTGTGATTATAAATAAAAAGTCCACCTATCATATTTAGTAGCGGACAATACAATTACAGCGCCAATAATCCAATATCCAATATCACTTTTACGAGCTAGTGTAAACGAATCTGATTTCTTTGTGATCGGTTCTTCATTGTGAGGAGAAGGTTCTTGATCTTTGGTAAACGTCTGCGTAGTTTGTCCCTCCACTCTAATATCGAAGCTTTGGAATGGTGTTGGAATTATTATATGTTGTTTGTAGTATGTAGTGTGTTAGGACTTCGATGCTAACAGGGAATAAAGCTGATTCAATACATTTTCTCCAGTGAAATTTTCTCATATTCTTCGTTTCTAATGTTGAAAAGCCAATTTGCATGTAACGTTACAGTTCTCCCGATTCTGGGGAGTTTAAGATTGACGAGAAAGAATTTTCAGTAAAACGCTTGCCTGCAACTCGTGATGTGTTTGGATTAATAAAATAATGGTGAACTGCCCTCTGCACTATTGCATTACGTATAGGTATTCCTCCATGTTTAAAAAGTGTTTGTAAAACTGGCAAACTAAGACCTCACAATAAAAATTCTAGAACCTAGGGGTTCGATGTGTGTAACTACCACCAACAGCAACGGTGCTGACAGTAAACAACAGTCCTCTGATAAAAGGAGAAGTTCTGGATGCCATGAAGCCAATGCAAGCTGTAAGGAAGGCAGTGCTGTGGGAAAGGATTCCACTGGGAGCTCAGAAAAAGGGCTTAGAGAATATCCTCAAGCCATTATCGCAGAAAGTTTACTGATTAAAAGTAGGGTTATCTTGTCAAACTGCTAAAGAAGGGAGGCTTATGCCTTTAAAAATACTGATGCTATAGTCCACGACGAGCAAAATATTAGGTCCTGTCATCTTAGAGGGACTAAAAGTTGCTCCGGTTGCAGAGCTCCTCCTGGAACGAACTTGATTCATGCTCGGAACAAATAGCAGCTCTGAGCGTCGCTATCGAACAAAGCATAGAATGCTAGTGAAACCTCTGCCGCAACTTCATCGACTGTGAAAGACCATACGACAGTCCTGACCGAGAAGTAATTTGGTATACCCCAAAACTGTGTCGAGCTAATTCAATTGCTATCTGATGACACATAACAAGTGATCCACAGTGAGAAACTCGGTGGAGCCTTTGAAGCGAAGACACTAGTAAGACAGGGCTGACTACCATCGCCGATGGAATTCTTGGCTGTAGTGAGCTGGGTCATGCAATAGGCTTTGGATAGTGACAGGCGAGGAATACACTGGACAGACATGAATTCTCTAGAAGATCCGGACACTACGAGCGATTCATGTCTAATGTCACATGCTTGAAGATTTACAAGTTAAATCCAACAAGAAGATTTAGATCCATAAAACTAATCCTTAGACATCGCCGAAGCGTTCATATGAGGAACCGGTCCGCCGATATTGGTTATATATTTTGTTCCAGTCAGCCAAAGAGAAAATCAAAATTTACATAAATACAACCCACCAAGTTGGTGGAAGAGTTGGAGAAGAAGTCATTTCACCTCAACTCAAAGAAGACAAATGTGAATAAGAAATCAGATAGCCAGCAATACCCCTTTCAATGGGTAATACAGCAATTTAAAAATTTTTTCTACGTAAGTTTCCAAGATCGTAGTTAATCACATGGACCTACATCATAATTTCAGACTGCTTATTGACTTACACCTGAATCTCTCGCGACAGTTAACCAATGCTCCGTAGGCTGACCTGCGTTTCTTACGACTTACTAAGGTGGAGGCAGTGAAAACAAATACAAGTTTGTGGAATGATGAGTGCAACATCGAATATCTTGTCATTACTACTGCCCTCATAAAACCCCCTCGGAAAACAACAGACTTTATTTCATTCACACAGTATTTAATGATATGTTATTTCCTTCTGATTTGCTTCTTCCTCTGAAGCATACTCTGAAGGACAACTTGGTTACGTTCAATCAGAATAACCAGTTGTCAGCCGACACCGTAATCTTGGCCGTACTCAAGCCTAAAACATCCAAGTGAGAACAAACGCACTCAATGAAAATCCCCGGATTCATCTGCAAACCTATATTCCTAGTTAATTCGCTTCCGGGTAGAATCTTACATAGGGTCACTTAAACACAGAACAATGTGATCACACAGTGATAGTTATCGATTTGTGAATTCGAAAGGCCTATACTCGTAATTAAGTAGGGGCAACAATTTTACGATACGTAGTATGCCTATGATAAATTGATGTGTTGAACCATCAGGAGTTGTCCCGCTAGCAGTATTATGTAACAGTAGTAGTGCATGGCAAATAATGCACCGCATGAATAAGCATCTTACGGTCTACTTAGTTCCTGTTCATAAACTAACGTCGTATGAACCTAAAGTTTGGTTTTTTATAGTGTAATGCAAGAGGAACTTGAAATGGAACAGATGGTTGTTTTTGGTAAAAAAACATGAAAACCTCTTGATCCAAATAATCAAAAGCCCAGTTTACGAAATTAGTTTTGTTATTTTTCTAGGGATCATTTCATTGGATGTGGTCTCATGAGTGAAGGTGAGTCGGTTGCACAGCGGCAGAATGCTCACTAGCCACGCATGTGGTCCATGGTTCAATCCCCGACCGACGCACTCCTTTTCCTCGCTAAGACTAATAAGACTGGTAAGAACGCAAGGTTGAGCATGTGACTAGCAACCGCATCCTGTAAAAAATAAACACCACTGCTACCGAAACTTCAAGCCTTTAGATTGAAGCATTGTGTTCCGCTTTTAACGTACAGGTATAAAATAAGTAAAAAATAAACTGAATGAACATCGGCAAATTGGCTTATAATTTGGCAGGTGACAAAATTGAGTATGTTTCCAACGATCAAATCAATTATGGACATGATATCAAGAGTCTCTGACTAATAGCTTGTAATTGCCGTATGATCTCAGTCATGCAGCTTTTGTTTCCACAAATAGAGAGAAACAGCTGTCCATTATTTGGTTGATAACGGCTAACACTGAAATTCATAATTCTCGTTTCTTCCTATTAAACGCCTGTCAGCTGGAGGAAACTTTCATTCTATAATCATATCATTGGACTGCAGTATCGCGGAAATAAACGGCAAATGAATGAATATCGAACCCTTTGACTACGAAAGCTCGATATTTTACGGATTCATTATGTTATGGAAGCTAGTTGAGACTGGATGAGTAACTACTGTTCAGTTTGTTATTCCCATGAGCAGACAGATCAGTGCTTTCCTGCGGTTCGTGGATTTTGCGAGTGACGAAAAGCATTTTCAACGGGTAGCTGAAAACTCTTGTTGGCAGCTGCCTTCACTCCATGCTGAAGATTAGATGACCACTATTTATAAAAGACAAGAAACTCCGGCGACGAACCAAACGAGAAGATATCTCCTGAAGCGAAAAAAGTGGATAACTAGCAAATAAGCAGACTGTAAAATATTCTGCAAGGATGCTGCTAACTAATACTGCTTCTGCTTGAAACACAACTAGAGGCTAAAAGTGGTGTCAAACTCCAATACCTGTTAGAAGAAAAGAACAACCAATCAGTAAAATTTACAGCCGACAAGGCAGTGACTGAAAGAAGAGTATACCACCACGTTAATAAGCTTGTTGGTAAGAAGACACAACATTGCGAGACACTAGTACACAGGACCCTTTATTAGATACGAAAGTACTCAATGACCCACTTCCGTTGAACTATACTCTATTTTATCTTAACTACCTAGGCCTTTAATAAAGTTAAAACTTACTCCTTTTATTCGTATTCGTTGCACGCATAAAGTTTCGTTGCCTGGTGAAAGAATAAACAAAACGACATTAGTGTTTGAATAAAGCTACATTTTCATCGAAAAAGTCATAATTTCCATGTTTAGACCAATGTGGCAGTAAACATTGCAAATGTAAACTATCATTCCAAGGAGTCTCCAACTCCTTCTTGTATATATCTTGTAGATGTAATTCCAATTATTCATTATCAATAATTGCATTTTATGTCATTTTATAGTTTCCCAGGACGTTCGGCTCTTCCTGAAATAGCTCTTAATCAAGTGGCGGCATAGCACTTACTCAAATATACCCTGTTCACTGGTTGACCATAACTATTAGCGAGAAAAGGAACGAAGTTTGGGTTGGCGCTCAACCTTAATGGTGATCTTATTGGAGGGTTTATAATTTAACATTTATACGAACCTGCTCTTTGCTTGTAAAATAATTGAACAATTTAAACGTTTGAAAAAGTGCTAATTTATGACACTTTACCATTGTAACTTATAACACCACTGATCGTGACTGTAAAAATAGCACTCATTTCTTGTCGGTTTATACGAAATATAAGTTATTATTTTTATCTTCACAAAACACAACATTTGAGTTATTAGATGATAGAAAAGTCTACTGATAACACAAAAATAGAGCCGTTGACCTCCAAAACTCCACACTGTCCTAGCCTAGCCTTAACGCGATAGGTAAAGGGAAGTTCGGTACATCAGAGGGACATTAGTCGCACCCGAAATATACTATTCACAAAATCCACTTCACAAGGCTTCACACTAGAAGGAGAAAGCGACATATTTTATCATGTAAAAGGCAATGAATAGCCTTCTGGATGAAGAAATAGTGGAATATCTGAACTAAAGCGAAATCCTACACTAAGCTCAACATGGATCCAGGAAAGAAAGGTACTGGGATGTGAATTTGTTGACAGCTTGAAATAATTGGCTAACATGCCAGTATCAGAATTATCCAGTTCACATCCAGTAGCTGGACCCAAGAAATCCTGTTGTGAGAATTGTCCAATTTGGGAATTGACAATCCACTGGTAGCACGAATTGAAGCCTGCACATAGGGCAGAGAGCTCTTGATAAAATAAACCAAGTATGTCCTACAAGGATAAAGGCCGTCGCAAGAGCATCGCAAATGGCAATTCCAGGCTATGTGCTGTTCCTAATCCTCCGACACACGCTTTGTGCGTCGGTGGCACAGTGGTCAGGACTCTCGCCGACCATGCACATGGTCCGGGGTTTGATCACCTGCCGGCGCACACCCGATATCTATGGTCGGCCTGAATTTGGGCTA